ATTTGTAATTAATCAAATTCTTTTGGTATTTGATGAAATTAATTTTGATGGTTTAAAATTTTGAACAGTTGGATGTTTTTGTTAATTTTTTCTACTGACATCTATTTTCTATAATCGACATCTTTGACTGTATATAATCGACTGTGACCGACAATTATTTTTTGTCAAACTAGACACCTTTGTTCATTGAAAGGCTATCCAAAACAGGCACCATCGTTTTTAAAGAGACATTCAGGTCGTTCGAATAGTATGAACACTATAAGTTGCTTAACTTTCTGCCAAAAAATCACACCATTTAAATGCAATAATTCCTCTGCTTTGAATTTCCTTTCTAAATTTTTCTTTTGCTTTGTTGGTGTCTGATATCAAGGAATACCTCTTAGCCACTTAAAAATGATTGAAATAGCATAATTATGAGGCCTAAAATCACAATGTAAGGTTGAAACATGGGACTCATTTAGTAAGGATAGGTAATTGCCGTTATATGAAAACATAGTCATGAATCAGCTGAAGAAATGTTCCATAGGGAAGTCAACTAGAAGTGGACAAGTTTCACCTTTACGCTGCACCATCATATCCATCAGGGGTAGACCCAGACTTTTACTACTGTGGGGTCAAAAATCTAAATATAATTTTTTTTTTTTAAAACAACGTAATATTAATAGAAATAAGTTAATACATATTTTGATACTTTGAAAATGTCGTACAATTACATCATTATCAATATTATTAAATAAAATTTGCTATTTCTATAGTTTTGTTTACCATTTCGTAAATGAATTTAAATAAATTTTAAGTTTAATCCAGAAAGTAAATGAAATTCAAATTTAAAGAAAATGTAATTCCAAGTAATTTAAATTACATTTAATCCGTAACGATCCTAATTTTTTTGATGTCATATTCCATATAAATTTTTCCAATAAAATGACATAAATTATATTGAAAAATTTATCGTGCAAAAATAATAAACGTTATTGAAATAATTGAATTTTTTTAAAAGAAAAGACGAGTTAGAGGTTTTTTTTAGACGTACATTTGACTCATATTTAACTATTTTTGATATCCATTTGGACCATTCGATATGACAATAGTATAGTTTTCTAAATAAGCTTCTACATGACATAGATGATTTGTGGATTCGGATATCACATGATCGCCAACGAATTTTACAAGTTAGGATATTATCGAAATTCTCAAAATACTAGTTTTAAATTGTCTACTTTGACGCATCGTAACTTTTGATATAATTGATCACTTCGCACACCATTAATAAGTGAAAAACTAGACCATGAGCACTTCGAAATGGAATTAAGAATGTAACATTTCGACTTCATTTGACATCCCGTAATGAGTGTATTAAAGTAGATCATAAAGAGTTATAAAAAATTAAATAAATAAATAATCTGACAAAATTATGTGGGGCCATTTGACCTCACATGACCCATGTGGATCCGCCCATAATATCCATCAATAAGGAGAAAGCATGATTGCTTAGGCTACAAGTTACGATGACTAGATCACAGGCTACGACCTAGGTGTCATGATGGTTAGACTTGGTTGAAGTCCTCAAACAATTGAATGATCAAATCTCTTCAAGCGGGGCAATGGTACACGTACCGATGTCAATATCGTAACTAGGCAATACAGAGGGCGATAAGTTCCTATTGAAATGCCTATCAAACTCGATCATATCAAGATCCAGCAATTCTGTAAAAATCAAGAGTAATTGACCCCTTTTAAGTTTTCACATTTTTTCCACTAAACTTTAGAAAACGCGGTTATTTATGTAAAGAGTATAGAACACTTATAAGATTTAATTGGGCCAATTGTGTACGGTCTAAACATACTTTGTTCATACATAGTTCATTATTGCATAAACTTTCCGAGTGCTCCTTAAATTGGAAAGAATTGGCATAGAACTGCATTCTTCCCTTCCCTTCTCCTGCAAACACTTTTTGTCTTTTTCCCCTTCAATATATCTTGTCCCACAATTACCCAAACCACATTGACCATAGGCCCGATGTGAATTAGAACACTTGGCCACACTTTATAATTGGAAAAACCTTAGCCTAATCGTCATCATTAAAAAATTTAAATTATTAGCTACGGGATCATCCTTTATTACACATTTACACTATAAAACATTTTACACACAAACTAATAAAGTTTCGTTACTTTTTAACCACGCATTTTCTAAAAAATAATATTTAATAACCCATTATTCCCAAATAAATTCTGTCAAACATGCTCTTAGCTATTATTCTTGATAAATGACCTTCTCTGGGCCATTCTTGCTTGGAATGAAGTTTTCACATATTCGCTATTCAACAACTTGTTGACTTTTGATTCGACAGTGAATGATCATCGATTTTTTTTTCTTTGCAAACAATACATATAAAGGGATCTATCAATAGTCAAATAACCAGTAAACCTTTGATTTTGAGAACCAATTTTATAAAAATTTGTTTCTTTTTTATTTCTCACTTATTAGTCCCCACATTGAGATCGTTGTTTCAATTCTCCCATGTACCGTTATAACATGTGCAGTTTTGTTCAATTCAATATACCAAAAAATGTTATTACAAACCCACAAAGGCTACATACATAAAAAGAGTGAAAATTAAGCTATCAAGTAGCTTCATGGGACATTTCTCTTAAGACAACTCACAAGTTCAAGATCCATATGTTCTTAGCCGTTGAATTTTGAATTGACAGGTAAGTCCCACGAAAAAGTAATGGAAGTTGCTTGTCAACTAGGATATATAATGTGTATGTGGTATATTCTTAAGCACCTAACATAACAAGCATCTTTTTTTATCATGCACACGTACAAATTAATTGAAGTCTCGTGATTTACAACCTCATCTATTTGCTTTCAATAAACTTTACTACGTGTCTGCAAGGCAATAATTTGTAAAATTAATTGTGAAATCTTTTATGTTAAAACATGTAAACGATTATAATCAATACGTGTCTCTGTTTCATAAAAAAAGTTTTTTAATTAATTATTTTCGATTCACCAGATCTTACCAAGTAAAAAGTCCTTCGCCTATTGAAAAATGATTCATGTACTTATACGCTTATTCTCTACACATTGGATTACACTCCCTTGTGTAGAAAATATTGTCCTTGCAACGAATATAATCAATGTTATATAAAGGAGAAAAGAACACAATTACATGAACTAGTGGGGCCTTTTTCCATGAGTTTCTTGAACCAATAAAAATAGGTTATATTTTAATGGTTTTTTGAATGAAAGATCATCACTATCATAAGAAAGCCATTTGGTTGGACCTTTTTCTAACAAAGTACATAAATCATAGAGCCCACAAAATTATAACTAAAGACATCACTCACACTCAACCTTTCTATTATTTGATGGACAATCTAGAAACCACCCCCTCGCTACCCCACCCCACGCGTGCCCACTCTCCACCAACCAAAAAAATTGAAGTCTATAATAACCAATCATTTATTAGCAAGCAAATATCAATCAAAAACAACATGAATTCACATCTAGTCTAGCTATAAGAGTGTATAATCCACCAAACAAAAGGAGATAAATCATAAAATACTACTATACAACTCAATGTCAACTTGCATGGAATTAACCAAAAAAAAAAAAAAAAAAAATTACAACCACCAATATTTTCGTAGCAACATTATTATTATTATTATTATTATTATTATTATTATTATTATTATTCCTGCCGGCAAGGCCGCAGCTAGCTGCTGAATTGGCCGTAGTTGCTGACACCTTCTCGAATTTGACAGTTCTTGACCAGTTATAGGTTTCAAATTTAATTGAAATTTGCCCTTCAACTCATAATTGCCCATAAATTTCTTGAATTTTCAGTCAACTAGTATCGAGTAGTATTAAAAAAAGGAGAAGAATTCATACAAGCTAATATTACGCACCAAATACACCATTTGTACCGTGCTAAGACGCGGCCATAGCCACCACCCCAAGCTTCTGAAGATTGAGCTTCACAACAGTATCGGTGAACATTTTCGTGTCCTCTCCAGTATTTCCCTCTGGTATATCCACTATATAAGACTCTAAAACAATGGTGTAAATCTTTCCCTCTTTGTTAAACTCATTAACAGACGTTACAGATCGATAATTGTTCAGCCTATGCTCCCCACCCACAACGCGAAAACTCAGTATATGCTTCTCATCATCCAAAATCTCAAGTCTCTCGGTGCTGGTGGAGGCGGGCAGGCCGGAAATCACCGTCACCTCCCGGATGCTGCCGACGCCGCCGTCCCCAGTCATGCTGCAGCCCTTGATGAAGTGCTTGTACTTTTGTGGGTTGTCGAAGCGGCGCACGAAGGGCCACACCGCCTCCGCCGGCGCATCAATCCGCTGCTTAATCAGAGATGTGGTTGTGTTAGGCAATGGATCGAATATGTGGTAGGTGCGGATTACAGGCTCTAGCTCTCGAAATTCTTCCTCCGTAAGACCCTGAGGAATTTGGATTTTCTCCATTTGGCACTTCAATCTTCTCTCTCTATCTATCTATGTATATATCTATAAATATATGAAGAAGATGGAGTACAGAGGAACAGAAAAATGGCTATATATGGACTTTTGTGGAGCTTTAGCCGTTTAGGGAATGCGTAAAGGAGTGGACAGTGGCTCTATTCAACTCTGCAGCGTTTTGTGTGTTGACAGAAATGCCCTTGTGTTATTAATTTATAACCAACTTGTCAGTTGTCGTTTTGCTAAATTAGGAATTTGTTACTTAAAATATTATATCTACATAAGTGATTTATGCCGGTGTATGGATATTATTAGCCAAGAAAAAATTGCACATATAGTCCTCAATGTTTAATATCTCATACTGATTCATCCTCAGATTTGAATACAAACTGTAATATCACCAATTTCAAAGTCAATCTAAAGTTTGGAGACGAATCAATATAAGACGTTCAAAATTGACGGGAATAGTCGTGCAATTTTCCTCGAAGTTCCTAATTTTAGGAATGTTTTTCTAATTTTACTTATTTAGGGTTTCTTGATATCGAAGTTTTTCTTCTATGTTTCATATAAGAATAGAGTTTCACTTAGTAGAAGGTAAAAAAGAAAGCAATATAAATTTCAGTAGCAGTAGCGAGCAAAAAGAAAGCCACTTAAAAAGTGTAAAAATATGATCGTGGAGAAAACAAAACAAGTATTGGGCAAAATGTCGTAGCACTCTAAATGGAAAATGCCAGTAATCATACAAAATAGATACGCTGACAATTATTCTAGATTACAAAATTACTTTAGAGTTATACTCTTTCAATACTTTTTTCCAAAGAGTATTTCTTTTTCGATTGGATTTGATCCATCCCAACAAATTATTGTACAACAAAACTAGAGGGTAAAAGAATGAAATTGTCATAAAATGAGTATCTCGATTTACTTTCAAAAACTGCAAGTTTTTATTGTTTTACTAAAACAATGCATTATGGTGTTTAGACTATGGTGGAGAAGAACGTTATTTGATTAACCTAAAATCTTAAATCTAGCACTAAAATAGTTTTATATATTAGTTTAGGCTAATATTTTTGGTGATTATAGAACACTTTACCTTAAATATTATACTCTTTCTAGGATCAATTTTGCTGTTTTACCATGTAAGGATTCCGACCCTCATAGCAGTGAGACTAGCCTGTATAAAAAATTGCCAAAAACCCCACCCACCCCCCATGTTGTGAGTGCTCGTGTGAACCCGTACTCTCTGTACTTCAAGCATGGTTCTTCTAGGATACTAGTTGGTGGTTGTAGGATTTTGCAATTCAGTTAAATATTTGACAAGTGCACACTTAGTGTAAAAAAAAAATAATAATAATAATAATAAATAAATAAATGACAAAAGGCACAAATATGTAAAAGAAAGAAAAGCAACACCAAGTTCATAAGAAAACTCTTCTCAACCTTTTATGACTCTCGACAATAAAAGGAATACACAAACTTTAGTGAAGGAACAACGCAATGTCTAACTCTTGCCTTCAAATTTAGTTAAATTTTATAGAAATCCGCCTATGCAGTTAACATCCCCAAATTGCTTCATTGCTCAAGCACTCAGCAAACTTAATTTAAATTCTAGTAATGTGTCATCCTTGTGCCTGTTTTATGCCAACTGGAATTTGGATTGAAATTAGCTAAGGGACAAGATGGCATTCTGCCATACCTCACGGCCTACAATCGATGCCCCGTTGCTTTCTGTGTCTTGCCATCGAAAAAATTCAAAAGATATTGAGAAATCACTTACACTTATAAGCAATTTCACGTATGCTACGGAGAAAGCCTGCACACTCATAGGCAATCACATGCGTGCCATTGAAAATCGTACATACAATGTCGACGTCGAGTAACTTCGGCATTGTATAATTTTCATCTCGACTATTTTTTTTTTTGCGAAATAAAAATAAAACAAACACAAATAGCCCAACCAGCTCGTTAGAATGTACAGGTCAATCATCAAGAAAAAGGTTCCATCATCGTTTGCACTCCGACGATCATGTCAACGACTGGACGAGAAAAATATAAGTACAAGAGAGGAAGAGAGAATTTTGGTTAAGTTGGAACAACCTACCTTAATTGTGAAATGAATAAAATATAGATAATGGACAGAGTGTTGCTAATGAGCCGGACCAAGTTTCAAGCCCAATGTGCAATTGTTTAATTAAATAGCCCAAGACGAGGTTTCTTGATTTAATAGACCCAGTCAAATTAAATAGTCGATAACACGTAAGCAAATGTGGGATCCCCTCCGTCATGCATATGCCACGTAATTTATGGATATAACAAGTCGGACTTAAAATATAAACTATCAAATAGGCGAGGTCTTACAGATTACCTCATAAAATATGAGTAGCTCCAATAAGCGAGGATTTATGAACTGCCTGAAAATATATGCATCGATCTCAAATAGGTGAAGACTTACAAATTGCCTCGAGAATATAAGTCGTTCCAGTAAGTGAGGACTTACGAATTGTCTCAAAAAATATTTTTGTGAGCTTTATGATTCCTGTTTGGGGGACTCACATTCTGAATAAGTAAGGGCTTACTAATTGCCTCGAAAGATGTCATATATAATTTGTCGAAATTTTGATAGTATCTCCTCTGAAATATGAACTAAGTAACATGATGTCGATAATAAAATGAAAACAATGATAACGTGTCATACATACTATCTGTAGTGAGTGTCATGACTTGCTAGCAATGATGTGACATGCGCACTTGACAGCAATAATGTAATGCATATGGTAGCAGTAATAATGTAATGATACTATATCATAATAGTCCCCCAAGTCGAATATTTATATACGGTCAGACTTGAAATATAAGTCACAGTGATGAAGCTGATGCAGAGACGCGACTGAATATATAAGCAGTTGTGATAAGTTGATGCAAAGGCGATGCTCTGAATGTCAGTAGCAAAAGTCATGCTTTGAATATATATAGCTATGATAAGTTGACGTCCTTACATGGGGTGGCGCATCCATGCAAGGGCTTTCTCTATGGTGTTTGGTCTAGCCATGAAAGTGATTAAGTTCTAAGGTAGCAAAGCGTGGCTTATTGTGGGAGGCATCTCACTAGTCCTTGTCGGAGCTCCCTTTTTATTTTATTTTTATTTTTATTTTGTACCTTTTTGCAAAGGGTTTACTTTTCTGTGTAAGGGCTTCCTCCATGGTGTTTGATCCAGCCATGGAAGGCTTCGTCTTCGTAGGTAATAAGGTGGGCCCACCCGTCTCTTTACGAAGCGATAATCGACATCCTTACATAGTGGATGGTTCATCCATGTAGAAGATAATGTAAACTCTCTAATGTTAAGTACATGTGACATGGTTGAAGCAGATGTAAAACTCCAAAAGATAGGTAGCTTTAATGTAAAGGCATGATGGGCTTTCTGAAAATAAATGCAGTTATAATGCAATAACTCATATGGTGAGGCATCTCGTGAAAGGAGGAATAAATATCAAATTGGTAGAATGTCTTGAACCATCAGAGTCTTATAAGCGACAATGGATAAATGAGGGATTACAACTAATCTCGACAATAGTGAAAATCAAGGAATATATATCTCGCAAAGCCAGAAATAAACATCTGGCGATACGAGAAATAAATATCTTGCTAATAGTTCTCGAACTATCGAAGTTTTATAAATGGCCTCGTATCGACTAGGGCCTATAGCTACGCTCGACAACAGTGAGAGGTCAAGAATAAACATCTCGCAAAGCCTAAAATAAGCATCTATCGAGATGGGGAATAAATATCCTGCTAATAGCTCTCAAACTACCGAAATTTTATAAGTGGCCTCGGATATACGAAGGCTTATAGCTGAGCTCGACAATAGTGAGAGGTGAGGAATAAACATTTCGTGAAGCTAAGAATAAAAATCTGACGAGGCAAATAATAAACATCCTGCTAATAGCTTTTGAACTATCGGAGTTTTATAAGCTGCCTCGGATGGACGAGGGCTTAAAGCTAAGCTCAACAATAGTGAGAGCTTGACAATGTGTCCATTTTGACCTTGAAAATAGAACATTACTAAAATAAATGAACTGATGAAATGGAGTCGGTAGAATATATCAGTGTTTGGTGTTTGGTGTTGTGTCTCGTCTCAAAGATAGTTATGGCATATACTTTCTTCTTGTGGAAATATTGTTGTCATTATATTCACACTCTTTCTGGCTTTTGTGTAGTTCAAAATTCACAAAATTAGGTTGAAAATTATCTGAGTAAATGCAAATTTTAATATTTTACTTAGATTTGTCCAATTATATTTATTACCAAAGAAATATGTGTGGAAGCCAAGATGGCTTGACTATCCTCTAGTTTTGTAGAAAGAGTATCAAACTCTTAGATGTAATACATTGTGATAAACATGATTTAAATCAGAGATAATAAAAAATACTTTATTGCTTTTATAGATAGATGGCTACTCTCGATATTGCTATGTAAATTTACTCAAGAGCAAAGATGAGACAAATGGGTTGTTTAAACACCGTAAATTAGAGGTTGAATAGCAACTTAGCACAAAGATTAAGACAATAAGAAATGATAGAAATCGTTAGTATGATTTGCCATTTGAATAATTTTGTTAGAACATGAAATTATTCATCTGACAATTGTCTATTATTATATGAGAATTGTTTGAAGATGAATTCTTTAAAAATACTTACGAATCAGATGGTGTTCAAAGTCAAAATGGACACAAACGTAAAAACCAATTATCTTCGAAGGGGATTGTGTGACTTCTATTGTCTAGATTTATACAAACAATTGATTGCACAAAGTATCTTCCCACTAATTGACCAAGTAAAGTCAATAGATTTTTATTAAGAAAAGTTCAAATTCTCTGGCTACTAATCTTGATGCAATCAATCTTCATTTGTACCCAATATTTGTATTTACCATTGCATTATTTTCGAAAAATTAATATATTTTATTTGTGTGGAAGATTGTTAGAAATAACTTTATTTTGATAAATTTTGAGCTCAAAATTAGATTAGACTGAACTCCGAATTAATGGGACCAATTATATACATGTTATACTCATCGAGGTGATAATATGATATATTTATTTGTTGAAATTTATTAAATATTTAATAAA